ACAGGAACGTACCCTGGTAACTATCTAGCTGATATGGTTAGGTAATTATCTAGCTGATATGGATAACGTTTTTCCAAACGTTAAAAACAATATGACACGGTTAAACCTAAGTGGTGCGACGAGGCTGTACTGCTGTTTGCATGACTAGTAAGTAATACGACGTGCTTTGCAGCTACAGTGACTTATATGTGTGTTAAAACTTGAGACAATTATTATTATTTACTGTATAATTCAACATGATATATCACCTAACTCTTCTTAATATTATTTTAAAACAGTATACTGATTGTTTGTTAACTACCAGTGATACTTTATTGTTTACATCCAATCGTGAAATGCGCGGAGATGTGAGAATTACTCCACAACTTAGCGCACGTGAACAGTGACGACCCGTGCACGTAAATAAACCCTGGCCAACACAATGTAAGGTTCACTACCACTGGCCAAAAGTAAGCTCCACCTACTTCTTATAGATTTTTGGTATGCCAACGCTGCTACTGGATTCAGGAACCTGTGCTAACCGGCCTGTGTGTCCGAACATCCCACGCACGTTTCTTAAATGCCAACTAAAGTTGATTGCAGTGAGCAGTCAATATGCAGTGGGCGAACAAATTGTTTACATGTATGTCACGGTTTATCATGGATTAGTTTTCAAACAAGTGCCGCGGAGCAACAGCGCTCATCTAACGTCTACTGCGGTGACTCTGTGGTGGAGTGGTGAGATTCTAGTAAACCCTGTAAGTCCCAAATGTGTTCACATACGTGCCGAAACAGTGGAAGGCATAGGGATGGTATCAGGAATCTTCTCAAAGGAATGTTTGTTGCAATCGTTATTAAAGTTGCCACGACATGGCGCGTACGTTTAAGTGTCTTAAGATTAAAGACGGAAGCTCCCATCGTACGTAGTAGCAACAACGTTTTTGCAAGACAGAATAAGTAAGCACTCATCCATTTACCTATGCAAGCCTACAGGTTGAAATAGAGAGCTGCCACCTGTAACTAATTAACGCAGGCAAAAACTACACAGTACTATCCCCACCACATGCACTGGCAGTGGCAAAAGTTACATGTAACACACTAACAGTACAGAATGACATAGAAATTATACGATTTAAGGAGCATAAACCTTCTTCAACCAAATTTAGCCTTTGAAATTTCACTGTGACATTGTAGCCTCATACATCCAGGCATGTATAAATTCTACTAGCAAACCCGGCAGTCAGATTCTTTCTAACAGTAAACAAATCCATGTTTAACCCTTTTCTTTAGGGTCAAAAGATTATCCAACACTTACTCTTCGCATGTCAGCAGAAAGTACAATTCACGGTCTTTTCAATAAAGCCATAAAAATGGTACCGCTGAAACAAAAAAGTTTTTCAATCGCTCCGTCAGACCATGTCCTCAGAAAATGTCTAAAATCTGCCCTGTGCCCCATTGATCTTTGACCTGTGACCTCCAATTTGTGATGGCTTTGCCTACTATGATGCTATACACCAACTATCACGAGCCTAGGTCAAGCCGTTTAGATTTGTGCCGCAATTCTGCATTTCCTCCCTATACCTTCAGATAAGGAAGGAATGTTCCCCCTTCTTTTACAACCATTGACCTTTGATCGTTGACCCCCAGCTTCGACATCCCAACTCGTTTTCGGATTACCCCCCCACGTCCCGAATATCGTGACCGTACGTCGAGCGGTTAAGATTTGTGCCCAACTGTTGACGGACGGACGCACGCACGCACGCACGCACGCACGCACGGACGATCATGCAATTCTACAAGCTGCATCTGACTACGTCAGATGACCTAATATATACCCCTGGAAGTTAATATGCATAAACAGATTTCTACAGGTGACAGTTTCTCAGTGTTTCGAATTTTCGGTGATCAAATAGCTGTAGGATCAGCGGGCCTGTTTTATCAAGAAGCTGTAGGCCCAGCGTACGTTCCGGTATACCGGACCATACCCAGGGTACGTTCCGGCAGTACCCTGGGGGACATAGACTCTATGAGCGTAACAGTAATACTACTATATTACTATATTACTGCTGATAGGGTCTATGTCCCCCAGGGTACCGCCTACTCCTCTAATCCTAACCCTAACCATATCAGTTAGATAGTTACGCTGAAGGGGTCGTTGTCGTATCAGGTACTACAGATATGTACCCGAGGTACATATATGTATAGACAAAGTGTACCAGACGTGTACTACAGAAGTGTACCCTAACCCTAACCCTAAACATACCTCATATAAAAATATAAACATAATACTAAACAATCTAAAACTACCTCGGGTAGATATCTGTAGTACCTGATACGACAACGACCCCCATCTGCGGTAGTTACCGGGGTACGTTCCGGTATACCGAACCGTACCCAGGGGTACGTTCCGGAAGTAACGCTGAGAGGGTCTATGTCCCCCGGGGTACTGCCGGAACGTACCCTGGGTACGGTCCGGTATACCTGAACGTATCCTGGTACTATCTAATATGCTGGACCGTACCTCGCCTACTTCACTAACGAGTCTAGGGAGTCGCCTACGCATACTCCCTAACCCTAACTCTAACCCTAACCCTAATCCTAATCCTAACCCTAACCCTAACCCTAACCCTAACCCTAATCCTAATCCTAACCCTAACCCTAACCCTAACCATATCAAATAGTGACCAGGGTACGTTCCGGTATACCGGACCGTACCCAGGGTACGTTCCGGTAGTACCCTGGGGGACATAGACCCTATGAGCGGAAGTAACCTGGGGGACGTGCATACACCCTATGAGCAATAGTAATACTAATAGTAATTAACACTAGAACTAAACACGTGCGGATCAGTAACCACTGCCTTCTAAATACTATTATTAGTATAGTACTAGTAGTGCCCATAACCAACTTTACCGATTTAAATTTGTGTTTCGCATATTTACACACGAGTAAACCTACCTAGCTTTGCGGGCAGGGGTTTTTCGTGCACTTATCAATATCTGGAACTAATACACTAACGTATCGAATGTCAAAGATCTGCGTGTGCACGTACACGTGCGTGCGTGCGTGTGTGCGTGTGCGTGTGTGCGTGTGCACGTACACGTGCGTGCGTGCGTCCGTGTGCATGTACACGTGCGTGCGTGCGTACGTGTGTACGTACACGTGCGTGCGTGCGTGCACTCCAATGTGCTGAACATTACCGCAATAGATAAGAAGACCTATTCCATAGACGAAATAGTGCAAATTGAACAAGTAGAACAAGAGGTGGAAGGCTACTGCTGTGTGTCTTCTATAGTGTTCCGCTCATTCAGTACAAACATAAAGCACAGTTCGTATTCCATAATTTCATCTAATATTTAACTCGTTAAATCTGAACATCTGGTAATTAATCATAGATTTATGGCGGATGTTATGTTTGTTAGTTCTGTCCTTGCCTATATGTGTTAAATCTGTGTGTCTAGTTCTGTCATCTCGTAAATTGTTACAATAATGACATCGTGGGAAAGCTGTCGTGTAGAGGGTATATCAATCAACCCCACGCATGCGCATATGATCACGCAGAGTTATATCAATAAACGCTACGCATGCGCATATGATCACACAGAGTTTGATCAATCAATCCCACGCATGCGCACATGATTACAGAGAGTTGGATCAAACAACCCCACGCATGCGCACATCATCACGTGAACACCATACCAGTTTTGTTGCAGGTGTGAATGTGAAACTTTCTAATCAATAAAACCCCGTCTGCTGCTAACTCCGCCTGTCTGTGTACTAGCTTCCAACATGGCGGAGATGAGAGGTTGGTGTACAATGTAAGATACGATCTGTTTCACTGATGATGTTTTTACTTTCGGCTCCGTTGCATGCTTGCGACACAACTCCATGAGTTATATATCTGTTCAACTAAAGCGGCTATATATGGTCGATGACACAATTGTAATCAACGATGTAGAATTCGAAACACGTACCCTCCACTACCTCACCTTCTGATTGCTAGATATTACCACACAGCTCTTGCCACAACAACAGCTTTCTCATTAAAAATAGACAGCAAATATAGATTAATCAACAATGTAGGATTCGAACTACGTACCTGCCGCTTCCTCATAATTTTATTGCTAGACATTACCACACAGCTCTTGCAACAACAACAGCTTTTTCATTAAAAATAAACGATAAATATGGATTAAATAAATAAATAAATATCCACACACACACACACACACACACACACACACACACACACACACACACACACGCGCGCGCGCGCGCACACACACGCACACACACACGCGCGCGCGCGCGTTCTCTCTCTTCACAATCTCTTGCACTATAGGTAACATTCATTATGACATTGAACAGCCGACTGATTCACCTTGCTAGTGTTTCGGCGCTCACGCTTTGTTTTAAACACGGATCTTTATCATTTACCAGACTCACTACTTAAATACATTATTTACGCGTTAACGGCAATGATTAGTTTAAATTATTTGGGTAAAGTTGTTCTAATTGAGAATGAATCACGATCGATAAATGTCGCATAAACATGGTACGTTGACATTATTTGTGACGGATACGTAAAACAATTTCGTGCCAGATATTGTATCCTCCACCGACAGAATACTGCGGCGTCATCATATAATATATTATCATGTATATATATGATGTGCCTGAATCGACAGCAGCACAGTGTAGGCCCGCTTGTTGCTGACATTCCACGGTCATCTTTGTCTCTCTCCTGACGGATATCTAACGAGCTCATCCATACTATCACAGGAAAATTATCAAAAACAGGCGTCAACATTTGTAATATGCGCACAATGACCGGTAGCTTCAGGAGTTTGCTCTTACTGCGTGATCTAAAGATCATCAGTGAGTTAAAATCTCACGTTACTTGCGTCGCGTTTATTATTTTATTATGCACGACAAGCGGTACAAACGCAGCAAGATATCAACTCCAATTAAAGGGAGAAGCCGTGAGAGGTTGTCTTCTTGAGGCGATGATGGTCAGAAGGATGCCTCAGTGTGCATTCTTTTGCGACCGCACCCCGGGCTGCACCAGTTATAACATAGAGAACACCGCGGAAACCCATAAACAGTGTGAGTTGAGTGCCTACGCAGACACTGACGTCGGCGCTGCAATTGTCACCGATAACAACTACGACTTCTATACGAAAGGTTAGTAATCATATTTCTGTAATTATTTTTAGGTGTGTGAGTGAACGGTCTCAGGAATTAAAAGGTCACCGTAGCTCTACTAAATTAACTCAACTCAACAAAAGTAACCTCAACTAAATTAAATTGTTTGGTTTCATCTCTATGAATTATAAACTATTAAACTGCATTTGTAATTTTTATTTTATTTTATATTTATTTGCCATTTTTGCTGCGTTGATTTTAAATAACGGTATCGGTTACCTCCGGACAATTACACCCAACCAGTTACATCCGAATAATTACCGCCATCCGGGGACAATCACTCCCGTACACTTACTCCCTGAGCAATCACTAACATCGGTAACCATGTTTCAGTAAACAGCGGACTATGCCCTGCAGACTTCGTGGAATTCCGTGGAAATTGTTACTACATTGAGACACTCAACACGAAGACTTGGCTAGAGGCACGTGACCACTGCATCAGCATGGGAGCCGACCTCGTCAGTCTGGAATCACCGGGAGAAACCGATTTTTTGACGCCTCAACTTTACGCAATCTGGTGGACCGGTGGCAACGACATCGCAGTGGACACGCAGTGGGTGTGGGTTGCTACAGGAAGACAGGTAGACATCTGTGCACCTATCCCATGGTTTCCTGGAGAACCTAGTAATCATGATTTAGAAATCTACATGTATGCAACGAACAATTATCGGTTAGGTGATTCTCGGATAATATATCGATCCAATTACGTCTGTGAGAAATTGCCATGAATCACATCTAGGCATCTGTTGTTATTTGTGGTTGTTATTTATTTATTCATTTGTTGTTGTTGTTTATTTTAGGTACGCGTGTTGTAATTTCGTAAGGGTGCCCGCCATATGCGGTATTTAATTTACGCGTTATTATCGTTCATTCATTTAGTTTATTCATTGTATTCTATTTATTTATTGATTTACTTACAGATGTGTTTTATTATAAAAAATGTTTTGTTTTATTCATTCATTTTAATCGGTTATGCCTATTTTTGTTTTATGAAATTTTCTATTTACATATTTATTCAAGTAATTAGTGACTTATTGTAAAAAAAAAAATAGGGGAATGGAGTGTGTGTGAATGTGTGTGTGTGTGTGTGTGTGTGTGTGTGTGTGTGTGTGTGTGTGTGTGTGTGTGTGTGTGTGTGTGTGTGTGTGTGTGTGTGTGTGTGTGTGTAGTGAGAGTAGAGTAGTGGTAGTGAGGTAGGAAGGAAGGAGGAGGGAGGGAGGGAGGAGGAAGAAGAGAGAGAGGAGAGG